GGGACCTGCTGCTGCGTGCTTTGGCTCAAGGTCGCTCTGTAAAAATCCAGATCTTTTCCTCTGGCCCTGTGAGAAGGGGATAACCGCACTCTGAGGAAGGGGATCCCACGTTTGGGTGCAGTTTCTGGAGCAGTTTAAGAAGTGTCAAGCACAGGTCCCTACTGATGGGGCACATCTGCTCTCACCTCCGCTTTGCACAGCTCCAGCGTTTGCCCCTCGATAACACTTGAGATTAGGGAATTATCCCTAACACTAGCACCAATAATAAAAGATTCATTTTCTGGGAGATCAACAGCTGATGAAAGCCATATGAGCTTCAAGGCTAGCAAAGGAGGGCAGCAAGGGGAGGTAAAATTTAGCTTGTCCTAAACTGCTTGTGAAGCTGCCCCTGTGGACTCTCCTCTTGGAGAGCTGGTGAGCTCCTGGGGGTGGAACCGTTGGTTTATCTTCTTCTCCCTTTGTATCTATGTGTGTGTGTGTGATCTCAGGCTGGAAAAGAATAAGAAATTTGTATGAAAAGGTCCATGATTTTTTTCCCATGCTTTTGTCCAGCCCTCATTTCAGTGATGGGCTGGACTGTGATATCTTCCTGATAGATTTAATGCTGTTGAAAGGTGTTGGAGGATAACTCAGAAGATCTCTGTTTAATCTAAAAGAACAGGTTCTTCAAGGTTAGTGAGAAGCAATGAGGAGGAGGTGTATAAGTTTTTAAAGTAACAGAGACATATCAAAGCCAGTTTTGCTTTTATGGCCCACTGAGGAGCTCCAAAATTTGTTATATTTTTAATATATTCAGATATTCCCAGACACACAGGAGTCAAACTCACTAGAAGACATATATGGGTCTTTCTTTTGGATCTGGTCTACACAGTTTAACCACCTGAGTCTGGAACAGGCTGTGATTTCCTCTGACCTTTGTATTTTATCTTTTTCTTACAAGAAAGTGGGGTAGAGATGAAATTGTGTACTTCCAACCTGGATTTGGGAGGTGGTTGGGACGTTTATGGGAGTTGTGAGCAGGGAAATGGCCTCATCCACCCCTGGCTCCCAGGATGTAGCCCCTAGGACTGCAAACCTTCCCCTCACAGTTTCTGCAAGCTTCAATGTTGGCCCTTTCCAACATGCTGAACGTGAAAATCACACTCTTTTCAATCTGTGAAAATTACTCCATGAAGTAAGTACGATGCAGAAGCAGGAGCAAATCCTAAAAGACTTCTGGTTTATGACAATGACTGGACTAATTATCTCAAGACCAGCTACCAGTATGGGAATATAAATGGGTTTTCCCCATTGATTTGACCAGACTGGAGAAAATACTGCAGTTTCCATCCTCAGGATGATGGGATAGCATTATGATCCTTGCAGTCTACTTAAGTTCCCTGCCAGCAAAGCAGCTGGGAAATACCCCCCAGCACAGGTACAATTATTGAAATCCACAGCCTTGCAGGGTCTGAAGGTCTGCTTGATGGGGGTCTGTTTTATGGGACTGGGGATGAGAATTTTGGGCAACGTGCCATAGCTCAATTATTTCCTAGAAATATAGAATGGTTTGGGTTGGAAGGGACCTGGAAGACCATCTGGTCCCTGCCATGGGCAGAGACACCTTCCTCCAGATCAGGTTTCTCCAAGCCTCATCCAACCTAGCCTTAAACACTTCCAGGGATGGGGCAGTCACAGCTTCTCTGGGCAACCTATGCCAGTGCCTCACCACCCTCATAGTCAAGAATTTCCTCTTACTATCTAATCTAAATCTCGTTTAGTTTAAGATTATTCCCCCTTGCCTTATCACTGTCTACCCATGTTATTTTTAGAAGCTTTATTGTTGTTATTATTATTATCCCTTATTATTATTATTTGCACCAAAGAACATTAGAGGATACTTGCACAGATGTTTCTGTCATTGCAATAAAACAAGGCCAGTAACAGATCTGCAGCACTGCCAAGGGAGGAGCCAGTTTCCATGGTTAGTGAGCACAACAGACTCGTGGCAAATGCTCACTGTGAGCTGGCTCTTTTTTAGCAGCAGCTTCCTTCAGAAATGCAATGTGGCTTTATCTATAAGTCCTTTATATAAAGGGCTGGATTTTGCTCCAGATTTCCATGACTGCAGACAAAATGTCACCATCAGTCCGTGATAACTCTCTTGAACATATTTTTTAATTTTTAATCTTTTTTTTCCATGTCATTCCTTTTTTCCTTGCTTTTGAATAAATCCAATTTTCTCACAGTGCCTGTCTCATTTTTAATCCAGACACTGCTTGAGCTATTAAAATTGCAGAGAGGAGCTGATACATCAGTGAACACCCACTGAACGACTGTAACTCTGTTACCAGGAACCCTTCTGAAGTGTGCAGTATGACAGAACTCCACGAAGCTGTGGCTTTGGGGGACTATAACCGGGTGGAGGAGATTTTGAAGACAGGGCGCTGTGACCCAAACCACAAGGATGTCGACTGGCATGACAGGACCCCGTTGCACTGGGCTGCTGCCATAGGTAAGAGCACCCCCCACTCTGTTACCTCTGTGAACCAGAGTCATAAAAGGTGATGCTGATTGTAATAGTTTCTATGCTGGCAATAATCACAGCTTGTATCTGATAATTTTGTCCTTAATAAGCAAAAAAATGTAAAAATGCCAATTTAAATTTGCATGAAATAAAATTTTCCTACAAAATAATTTATGGGATTGTCATAAAAGTAATGTTTTAGCTTTTTTCTTCCATCACATTAAAATTTGCATATGTACATACAGCATGGCTGCTTGTTCCACCACTTTACTTTTCTAAGAGGTGACTCCATGCAGTGCAGAGTACTTATTTCCCATGTACACCTGTGTGAATGAGCAGAAAGTCAAACCCACTGTATTTATACCAGGTATTTTCCAAATCCAATAGAACAGAATAATAACTATGTGGTTTATATTGCCCTCCTTTTATCCCAACTGAACAACAGATGACCAGAGTTGTTTGCAGCTCCCATTTGGTCCTTCAGAAGTATGAAAGTCTAATATCCCTTTGCAGCCCAAAAAAGAGATGATGCAACAATATGGGATGTGCACAGTGTGAAATGGGAAACTGGACCTCTACTTATCTGTGCTATGGTGGTCATTACATGTTGGTTTCTCATGTCAGGGCATCTATCTTTGCTCACAAATTGAGTGTGTAATCTACTGTTTTACAGTTGAGACCATGTTTTCCTTTTGCACTGATGGATTATTACTCATTTAGGCATCAGCAAAGGGAACTGAGCTACTTAAGAAAATGATGATGAGAGACTGGCATGGCCTAGGTGCCATTGGGAATGATCTAGCTCAGTCAAGGCAGTGTGAAGTGGGTTAGACATAACTGTTTTGCTTCTTTAAGCAATTCCACAGGTGAGAAAAATGTGAAGGTGAATGAAAACAAGTAATTTCTCTATCTTCTATCCAAAACCCCTTTGTTTTAGTAAAGCTGTTCACAAGTTTTCCCATTTTTCACTGTTTAAATTTTATTTTGCATTGAACTAAAAACCAAAATGAAGCAATGAAATAGCCAAAACTGGTCAATGAGTAATTGAGATGTGCTGTTCAGAAATTAGAAATCTTTTTGATTTTAATGTTGCTTTCACTGTAAAATTCTTTTGAAAGCAGTCTAGTCTGGGGAAAAGTAATTGAGTATCATTTATATGATAAAACAAATGGTGAAGTCATGGGTAAAATCCATGACTGAGGGAAGCATGAAGAACTGTGTGTGTCAATCTGCGTCCTGAAGGTATAAATTCTAATGCAGTTTCACCTTCTCTCCTTGTTTTGCTGCCCATTGCAAGGGCAATCAGAGCTGGTGAAGCTCCTTGTGGATCACGGCGCCCGGCACTGCCTGCGGAGCCGCGTGGGCTGGACTCCAGCTCACTTTGCTGCCGAGTCGGGGAGATTGGGGGTGCTCCACACCCTTCATTCCCTGCATGCTGCCATGGACGCGGCTGACCTGTTCGGCGACACTCCCAAGAGGCTTGCGGAAATCTACGGGCACCAGGACTGCATCAGGTTCTTGGAAAAGTGAGTTGTGATGGCAGGTCCCACTGCTTCAGCAATGAAAGTCAAATTGACTGATCTGTAGAGGACCAGAACAAACCCAGTGTACTACATATCTGTCCACCAAAGCCTGTTAAAGCCTTCACACACGAGCAGTAGTAGATAAGCAAACATAGGTCTGTCACGGGTAAGACATTGAGAAGACATTCTTTTATTCCACTGCCTCCTGTGGTTTGCTTTGGTATTTTGCAAAGTCATTACTTCATGACATCATTGTTTTTGTAAGGATATTACAGAGTGATTATTAAGCAACAGAAATGAAAGCAAGAGCTGACAAGTATTAGCCCCTTAGAGTGGTGAATGCTGAACACACTGGTTCAATTGTTTAGGAGCAGCCCTTCAGCAGCTGTATGTGCGAATATATATCATTTGGCTTTTCTTATAATGAAGAAAAGAGCCATCCTATTTTTCACATAATTACTGAAAATTGGACCATTTGATCTGTTAAGAGGATGACCACATATTACTTCTAAATTTTGAGAAGCTCCTTATTTCCTTAACTGTTTACAGTTAGCACTGTGGCACAACATGCCATAAGAAATGTGCTTAAAGGGTTGCTAGTTGCCATTCCTCTTTTTTAGCCACTGGTTTGGTTCCCAGATATTTTCATGCATGCAAAGCTGTTTCCCTGGACCAGAATGGGCTCCAGAGGTGTGAGCTACGTCCCATACCTGTATCTCTCTCAAGCAGTGGGACAGATCACCAGAGGCCAACCAGATTGCTCAGTGCAATCCACAGTCCCACACACTACTTTGTATTTAAATACACTGCCAGTGAAACCTGCACATGCCAGACTCTGGGATGCTGAGAGCTGCCAAAAGCTTTTTCTCCCTTGGGATATTCTGTGAATTTACAGTCCTACCATAGTCCTTCACTGACATCCCTTTTACCACTGCCGCATTCTCAAGACTGCTTTGGCACCATGTATATCCTGGATTTTTTTAATATACACGTATCCAACTCAAAGTCTCCAGCTTGCTACTGCAGCACAAGAGCTGCCAAGTTCAAAATCATGCGTGGTGGCTGGGCAAATGTCCAAGGTGACCAGTGCCTATCAGATGCCACCTGTCATTAATCCAAACACAGTTTCTGTAGCCACTGTTGTCCCTTTGCTGTACTTCTACAGCTCGTTGGTTCCTACCGAAATGCTCCATGCCAACATTTTGTCTTCACACAACATCAGGGTACTCCATAAGAAAAGACACACAAACTATGCAAAATCCCCCTGTACAGACCCCAGAAAACTTTCTAGGAAAGACACAGATTCCAGTTTCTAACAGAATCATAGAATCGTAGGATGGTTGGGAGGGACCTTAAAGCTCATTTCATTCCAACCCCCTGCCATGGGCAGGGACACCTTCCACTAGACAAGATTGCTCAAAGCCCCATACAGCCTGGTCTTAAACGCTGCCTGGAATGGGGCTCCAGAACACGTTAGAGCTAAAGCCTCACTGTTTTTGGAGCTGACGTGCTGCAAATCCTCACTATTCACTACCTTCCTTCTACACAGAAGTATCAGTTCTTCTTACCCTCAGACCTTCAGTTTAAAGACATTTAAACAACCAGCAGCTGATACCTAAACTTTGCTAATTAGTTTTTTTTACTACATAATCCCTGGCTAGGTAGTAAAGCGCAGGTTTGCCAGTCCATTGAGAATGGGACACTATCTTCCAGTGGACTTTCTCTTCATACTGTTCTCATGTCTTGGCATGCTTAGTTTCTATACCAGAACAGGTAAATATTGTCTCACCTAGAGAGTGAAAGTCTGCAGGCTTCTTCCCCTTGGTTTGTAGCAGTTGCTTACTTATTCATTAATTCCCGCCAAGTTGGTAGCATTTGCCCTGCATTTGTAGGAGCCATGGCAGAAAGGTGATAGCAAGGGTGGGGGAATTGCCTGCATAATGCCAATGGGCAACGCCCACGGCAGGCAGAAGTGCCTGGGAGAATGACTGACAAAATGATTGGCAGGATGATTGACATCCTGGTCTGAGAAACCTTAGCAAAAACCTAGGGTGACTTGGGTAGCTGATGAAAGGTTTTCTGAGGTGAGTGGCTAATTTAAGGTGGAAAACTGGTCTTTCAGGGCCATGTGCTGTCCTAACTTCCCATGCAGCTTCATGGCTCAGCTAGGAGCATGACTGGGAGAACTTAATAACTGGGAAGATGCTTTGAATGGCCATAACTAGGACATTTTATAAGACACACAAAGCCTTTATGATCACCTCACAGGCTTAACAGAGCCTGTGGGCAGCCAAGAGTTTATCACTGTAACTCAGGAGCCCTGTTTTAAAGCCCAACCACTATAATTTATAACCACAGTGGATGCCTTCACCCTCCTCATGCCAGCAAACTGGGAGTTAACTAAAAGGCTGGAATTTGTAGTATAGTTTTGATTACCTTCTGCTCCTTCAGGTGTGCAGAAGGTCCCAGAGGTGATGTCCATGGCCAGGCAGTGCTGGCAGCTCTGACAGAAGTTGGACAGTACCGGTGTGTGCTGCAGGCAGAAAATGAAGTGTATGCCTGCACATAATGCTGGACAGCACAGAGCAGGTCTTCCCTCCACTACAGTGTCCATAGTATATAAATATGAAGGATATTTTGTTACAGAGCATCCCTGACTCTTTTGGATATTTGTCTATCATGTGAAAAGAGAGAAAAGGCAATTTTTGAAATAACAGTCTGAGGATCTGCACCAAATGCAGGGCTGATGTGTATTTCTAAACAGGGCTATGAGCAGCCAAATCCTTCCTAAATCCCAATTCAGCCCCCTCTAGCACCACCATGGCCCTTGTACACTGTGTGTCTGTCCCCAGGTGTTGCCAGCTGCATGAACTACCTGCCTACCTGGGCTGGACCACTGCTCTGTGCTGAGGACCATTTGCATCCACATGGAAATATTACATGTATCAGCATGTAAATGTTATTTATGCACAAGTATTAGGAATATTCTGCTACTGAGTATCCATACCATTCACCGAGGTTTTGCATGGACATGCAAAGGTTAGGAAACAGCCTTCAAAACATCTGCTTCTGAATAATAAATACCTATTTTGCATCAGATTTGTTTTGCATAAGGGCTTTACCCTGGATGTTGTGAGAAATGCCAAGAATGGTGCCAAGCTGGCACAGAGACCTGTGGCACGTGCCTGCTGCCAGCCTCTCTGCAAAGTGCCAAGTGTTGAACCTGCACCTATAGGCTCCTGCTATCTAAGCCCAGGGCATATAT